ATTTTTGCTGGTTGCCTCGAGTGTAACTTTGATACCGCCTGACTTTCAAATAGCTGTTCGGGTTCCACCAAGTTAAGATTTTGTTGTGATATAAAATCTTGACAGATATTACGTTTAATTAATTTTCAAGTAAATAATGATTGTGAAAAACAAGCAAAATCTTCCGGAAAAATGGTATGTTTAAAACAAAAGTGAAGAAATTAATTAATATCACAACTCCTGATTTGACTGTTTATTTAACTTCCCCTGGTTAAACTACAGAAAGCCCGATGCTGAAACAATAGGACTTTGGAGGATGGGTTAAATCGCATTCTTGAACTAGGACATTCTTTTTTAGTTTAAGAGAACTCAGTATTTATAGGCTAGCGGGTGTAAATACACGTAAGCATAGTCTTTTTACTCGGTAGAACTAGGGTTATATGAATATCTGTAGTCAGAAACTTGACGGCGAAATAATCAGACGCCATCAAGCTCGGAATGTGTATCTCTTAACGAACAACTCATGTTTCATCACTTCTAGTTCTCTATTATCCTTAATTAAGGGACAGTCCTATACTCGGCTTCACTTTAGTTGTCATCGTAAGGAGCGGATCCCTATCGGAAGCCCGGGCAAGGTTAAAAAATTGGAAAACAAAATAGCAAATAACAACTGCGGAACAAAAGCATTGTGAGTCATGGGGTAGACCGAAGTAAATATGAAGGTGAGTAGGAGAGACATTTTATACTACTGACCAATAGTTGCACGCCACGTTAGAATTCTAATATTCTTCATCATGCTCTGCTTGGTTGGGACTCTTCGGCTCATTTTTGGGCCTCTGGAGGCTCCGTTGAATTTCTCCGAACGCCGACTCAACAAGTATATCTACAGTATTTTCATAGAGTTACCGAGATATATTAAGGATAATATAGGAGAAAGAAATTGGTAATTCATCGTAAGATATTATCCTTAGTCCTTAAGAATGGGTCTAGTTTCCTTTTAAAGGACTCTAAGAGTTGCTTTGACTACCTCAGGCGGCAGCGATTTCCGGAATCTGACAACTTTTAAGGAGTAGAAGGTGTGCCTACAGTTCATTTATCTGTGTTGTGCCTCTAGATTCTGAGTGTTACTCCTTAGGTTTGTTTTGAAGCTAAACTTAAGTAGCTGTTTAAGGGGATGTACAGAAGTGTTATAGATACTGTTAGCCATCAGAAGGTCACCTCTAATACGCATGTACTCCAATGAATAAAGATTCAGTGATTGTAAGCGCTTTTCATAAGGCTTGAATTTGAGTCCCCGAACTGATTTCATGGCTCGCTGCTGGATACGCTCCATAGTGTCCTTAATATTTCGAATTGAGAGAAGAAATATTATGTTTCTATACTCTAAATGGAGACGGATGAAACTGTTAAAGATTAGGTGGAGAGTTCTACCGCCAAACTGGCCAAAATGCTCTTCAATGTTACTAGTGAAAGGTTGCTCGAGAAGCATTTTTGTCAAAGTTTCAGATCATCAGCAAAATTTAATAAATCAGACGATACATGTTGTCGGATATGGTTTATATAAATGAAGGAAAAGGGAGGCCCTAGTACTGAACCCTGGGGGACCTCACTAGGACATTGCAAAGACCGAGATAAAGTGAAGTTAACCCCGACCTTAAAATGTCGATTTTTAAAATCTAAAGTGAGCCTGTCAATGAAAGGTGATTTGCTACGCAATCTTTTGCGCTTATTGATAAGATATATGGTTGACCTTATCAACACAGCAAGCACCAATTCAGTCACAATTGACGTAGAAGATTTGAAAGATGTAAAACCATTTACATATTTGGGCCGCATCATTGATGAACATGGTGGATATGATGCAGATGTGAAGGCGCGGATCGGTAAAGGAAGAGCAGCATATCTACAACTGAAGAACACCTGGAATTCAAAGCAACTGTCAACTAACACCAAGGTCAGGATTTTCAATACAAATGTCAAGACAGTTTTACTGTATGGGTCGGAAACCTAGAGAACTACGAAAGCCATCATCCAGAAAATACAGGTGTTTATTAACAGTTGTCTACGCAAAACACTTCACATCCGTTGTCCGGACACTATTAGCAACAACCTACTATAGGAGAGAACAAACCAGATCCCAACGGAGGAAGAAGTTAGGAAAAAGCGTCGGAAGGTGGATAGGACACACATTGAGGAAAGCACCCAACTGCGTCACAAAGCAAGCCCACACATGGAATTCTGAATGTCAAAAGAGGAGAGGAAGACCAAAGAACACATTACGCCGAGAAATGGAAATAGACATGAGAAAAATGAACAAGAATTGGATGGAATTAGAAAAGAAGGCCCAAGACAGAGTGGGTTGGAGAATGCTGGTCGGCGGCCTATGCTCCATTAGGAGCAACAGGAGTAAGTAAGTAAGTACTATCATAAGCTTTTGAGAAGTCAAGGTGAATGACGTCAACATTCCCTTTGCGATCAAGGATGGTTGTCCATCTGTCCACCGCAGTCAGCAGTTTGGTTACACAAGAATGACCCTTCCTGACACCATGCTGTTGGGGTAAGAAGAAGTTTATGGAAAATAAGTAGTCGTGTACACCGTTGCATATCAGGGACTCTATAATTTTGTATGTATAGAGAGAAGGGTCACCGGTCGGTAGTTTGAAGTTTTGCTGTGTCGACCTCTTTTAAAAGTTGATATAATGTGAACCAGCTTCCAAATTCCCGGTAGTTTTCTTCGGCTTAGCGTGTGTGAGAAAGTTATGCTATGCGGTGTTAACAGGATTGAAGCTGCTTCCCTCAGTATAGCAAAAACAATCATATCCGAGTCAAGAGAATTGTCCTTTTTAAGTGCTACTCACCAAGTCAGCGCTCAGGTTCACTTCGAAAAGTCCTGTGGAGTTGCAGATGAAGCTTTCATCAATACAGTTAATTTGAGTTTGTTGAAATGTCTGAGAGTATTGTTCAGCCAAAAGGTTAGCGGCGTTAGTGTCGTGATCGGTCGAACCATTAGTACCTAGTAGTTGGAAAAAATCCAATTTCGGCCTGAAGAGGAATAAGCTTTTCAGATTAAAGATAAATTTATCGATATGCTTTATCTGTTACTGAAGCCTGCCTTCTCGTATTGTGCATATGTACCTTATATGTTTGTATCGCCTGTACGCGCCGTTGTTATCAGTTCGTTTGTATACAGCATAACAGTGCTTTTTGCGGCCTAGCGAACGAAGGGTGCGGTTCTTGATGACCGTAGGTTGTTTTTAGACTTCGGGGACCGTTCAGAGAACGGACTGCTTTGCAGCACATAAGAGCGTGTGCAGTAAGAAATCTCAATGAGCGTCCACATCAAGTTGATGGTGAATTTCTCACCTGTTGTAGACTGTCATGTAAAGCTGACACATTCAACCTTTTGAAACTCCAGCACTTGTTGTTCATCGGATGTCTTAGCTCAGTTTCGCTGATAAAAGTGATGGCTGTGACGGCGTGATCGCTTCTTTCCAGGAGAGCCAGAATTAAAAGGTTGTTAACTAGGAATTCCATGTTTGCAAATACACAGTGTAAGTGCGACGGCGTCTGACTGTTTCTTCGACAAGTTGCCGATTTCACGTTATCGAATAATCCCAGACCCCTAATGAGGTTGAAGGGCCGAGCTTCACTTGAGTTTATACCTCCAATACACATACGTTCCGCGAAATTGGCTTCAGAAAGATTGAAGTCCCCCAGAATCAGGATATGAGTGAATCCGAGATGCGTAGAGCAGAAACATCCTTCCAGCATTCAATTGTCTTACTTCATGTCAGTAGTAGGCTTCCTGTAGATGACCCCAACCAGATACTTCGAGGTAGTAGAAGATCTTACTGAGCACCACAGGGATTCATTAAGATTGTTTATCAATGACAGAAAAACAGGAACTGGGGACGGAGTGGCCTTATACTTACGATCCTGCCTGGAGGCACATAAAGTGCACAAGCGAGAGTTTATTAAAGACATCACGGGTATTGAAAGCTCCTGGTTCGTAAGCTGAGATTTCCAAGTTTCAGATATCCTTATCAGATGAGCATTATTCGCATTGCTACGACCACGTAGCTCATCCATTTTATGACTTTAAGACTGTCTTTTTTCAAGTTTGCTGACAACTTATTCCGCAGACCTGTCAATGGGACAATGATGTTACTTAGCAAATCTTCAGCACCCGTGTTGCACATGACACATACCTACTTATGATCCGACTCACTGAGTCTGTTGTAAGCAGTTGCTGTGAGATCGGTACACGCCTCATGGAACCACTTGTCCTACTGCATGCTAGATGTAACGGCAAAACGGCATAAAGGTCGTTCGCATGAAGTTTTCATGACTATATTGACGTAAATCGTTTTCTAGATGCTAGCAAAAGCTTAAAACTGTTAAAAAAACATTACACTAAAAACGGGCAAAAATGGATAAAAACGGGTTACGATAAACTGAAACTACCCTTTACTTGAAAAACTGAAAAAAAGCAAATAGTGGGCTGAGGCAAAACCACAATCAACTATTAAGTTGGGTGTAACTCAAAAAATGTGACATGCTGAACGTATAGCTCAGAATAGATTCGTTTGACCAGAAATGGTACATTTGTTGCGTAGGAACACAACAAAAGTTTGAGAATGCAAATCGCGTTAGAACTAAATTCCCGTTCGAAAAGTGCGATGCTAAATAACATTACTGTTATTGTATAACCTCGTTGACCTTAACCTAATGGCCAGGCTTTACTGTTTGAGTGGCAAACTTTTAGAAAATCTAGAGTCTTGCCGCGTAAATATTTTATTTTGGCACATGTAGTATAGAACTTTCTGAGAAATGACCGGATACCACATACTTCAGTCTTATGGCATTCAGTCGTTAGTTTTCTTCAATCATCTATGACATTAACGAGAGCCTGCAAACAGCTAATTAACACTCTATTTTAACTTCAACGACTTGACCACTGGACCCATTGAAACACACCATACTATTTTGGCGGGGAGTTCTGTGGTTCCTTCTCTTTAGTTATGTGGAGTCCTGTCGTTGTCGCCGTTGGAGGTTTGTCCTCTCCTAGTGATAGGGTAGCTTTGGTCCGAAAATCATTGCCTTACCCAGAACCCTCCACTATTTTGTCTCACAGAAAGCGAGCCAGGTTGGATAATCTTACCGAGGAGGAGAAAATCATCCGAAGGTAGTTATTTTCTTATTTAATTTATTGTTGCAGAAAAATACTTAACCGGGAGGCAGCACAGAAGGCGCGTGACCGCAGGAAAGATCTGATGGAAACTATGGAAGAAAATCTAGCTCATCTACGTTGGGAAAATGAGTACCTAAAATCTTCAAACCGAATGCTCCGCCTCAAGTTTATTGAACAAGAGCAAAAGTTTCAAGCACTCCAAGAAAAACTAAGTGGTATTATCAGACATATGGGGAAGTTTTCGGGAAGTCAGATCGAGCCACCAGAGTCAGCTGAACTCCTCCCTCTGCAGAAGGGAGTGGCTCTCTGTCTGTCCGTTCTACTCTTCCTCCACTTTCACAATATCCTGAAGAATGCGTCCAAAATTCCAATCCCGAGGATGTACCTGAAGATATATCATCAACTTTATTCGATGCTCAAACCGTCGAAGTCTCATCCCAAAATGTGTCTGAAACCAAACAGTCTGGAGACAGCAATTGCTCTGACGACCTGAATCCATATTCTCCTTGCTTGTACGATAGTATCTTGAACAGTCTACAAGATGACAACATAGAAGACATCCCTGGATTGACAGATGCTTACAATTCGGAAGAAAGCTTAGATGAACTACTGGATGTTTTAAAATGTGACGCGTGTGATGATTTATCCACAGAAATTCTCTTTTAACATTTTCCAGACCCCGTGATCCTGTCACTAAGGTCCTTGACCATAGTGACGTTGTACATATGACTTTGTCAGCTTACTTAATTATTCCACTTTTCATTCTAAATCTGGCGTTTTAATTTTAAGATTTACCCGGGATAATGGTGCGATACTATCAACTGGACAGATGTCCATCACTTTGCTATTCATTAGTGTGGTTACGTATTTGGTGACGCATATTTTAGTTCCGTCCACAAATTTCACTGTCTGTCATATCTAGGTTTCGTAATGGTAGGGTAAGAAAGTGAACACGTGAATTTTCCTAGTGTCATGCTTGGACAATTATAATTCGATAACAAGAAGTCAGGTACTTATTCTCAGGAGGGTATTATCCATGGGGTCGTAACTCGAGGATTTCCAAAGCCGAATGGGGAACGGGCGTGCTGGTTTTGATCAATAGTTCGCCTGGGTTATTGCTTTTCGAGCCGATTAGATGTTTACGGGACGTACTGTGTAGTGATTTCGTGCCTAGTTCTGTGAGGTCCCAACTTCGAATGCGCGGCCGTTTACTAGTAAAGCCTTTGGTGCCGTCACTGACATTTCATAGTGTTGACCTAAAATATCAGTGGAGTCACGTTTAGTGAACTTTTCCGAACTTGTATGGAGAAGTCAGTGTAGTGACATGATTAGGGTGTTACGGAACGCAAGTTGTCTGTCCTGAGGAACTGACCACGTCGCCTGTTGTTTTCGGACCTGACGGTTGCAACCTAATGGGCAAGATGCGAAATGATGGCTAAGCGTGTCGTGCTTAGTCCAGTTCTTTGTGAAATTGGCTATTCCCAATATGTGGGAATGATGGCCGTAGCACGGTTTGCTCCAAAGGAGGTTCGCTATGTCCCATACTATCCGAGTAATAAACCTCGAAATCAACGACTTGTATACTTTAAGAGGGAGAAAAATCGGGTCTCCTTAAGTTTAACTCGATCTCGATAGATGGCACAAATATAAAACGTAGTAAAAAATGATCGTTTTTCCTGAGGAAGACGAGCGTCGCGTATAGATTACCGCATAGCATATCTTGGAAACATGGACATTTCTGTTAGTTTACAGTACGGAGTAGAGGCATATCTATATCTGTGAGTCGTACGACAGTCAGCCGGATATCATGGACGTTGTTAACAAACGTAGGAATCCTTTGAACCGCGGAGATCTGCCTTAGTTTGTTCGTCAGATTCTTTACTCATCAGTTACTTTCATCTTGCGGTTGTGATGGGTGGTCGCGAGACTGAGGTCCATAAGGTTGAGAATAAGGTTTTAATTAATTGGACAAGTTCGATGAATAGGAAGGGAGTAGTTCGTTTGCTTAACTGTCCTGTGTTATGCATAACTGCTTGGGAGTATGGATAGTTTAGATCCCTAATGTTGTAACACGATATCGGGACAGGTATCCCTTCGTCTAACATGTTCATTGTTTAGAAAATATTGCGAGTGGTCCAGCACATATGTTTAATAGTCTGTGATCGTACACGTATGAAATGTGAGTTAACGAATAGAAAATCGAAGTGAAAACTGCAATACGAACAATTGTATGAGAGTAGTCGTACGAAAAAAGATGAATAAGAGATGTGGAGCAGTGGGATGCTCATGATTTGCAATTTTTAACCGTAAATCACGATATACGTTATGCTTCCGTAGATAGCTCTGACTGAATTGGCTTAGTAGACTTGTCTACCTTTCAGTGTCCAAACATTTCCCTAGTATATTATGGTAAGAATTAAGAAACTAGGGTCTAATGCTTTTTAATTTTATCTTCAGTTATTTCGTGCTATATTATCACTATGGTATCTATTTCCAATCTTCGCTTAATTAATTTCTCTACATACTAGGCTATCGAGTTACAAATCTCAATCTAACTCCCTAATGAGTTACAAACTATCATTTAAATAAAGCTTCTGTATAGTAGTAAGCGCACATAATCATATGAGATTAGAATAGTGGCAATATGCAAGCCTTGAGTTAACTGATTGGTATGTATCGAATTACCCCTCTCTGTTGAAGGTTTAAATATACAGGATGGAGTTACGAGCGTTCATCACTTCAGTTGATTTAGTGTCCGAGTGAGTTAGTTTGGTAATTCCCAACAAAATCTTGAATCAGTAACATGGTTATTTGGTTTATTCGACATGTGGCTACACTCACCCTTTTCACTACGAGCCTTTGGAAATCTGGTTTGTTTGGGTACTTGTCTGTGACGGAAGTGGAGTAGCAGGCGAAAGATCAGCTTACGGTAATCTGTTATTCAAACGGTAATCAGACTGTGGGACATTCAGTTTACAATGACAGCATTACATTTAAGATAAGACAAATTAATAAATGAGAGCTTCATGTAACATGAATGAAGTAGCAAGCAGTAGAGCTAATACAGCAGGATCCATATTCTCGTATCACTACATTACGACGGTTGACTTCATCCAAGCATATTGTATCGAAGAGTAGCGACCTAAATACGCATGTTTTTGCTGGTTTTATGAGTTAGTCTTGGGCCTAAGGAATGCTATACTTTCTCTTTACTAATATATCTTATCGTGAGGTAACAAAAAAAGAGTAAATAAACAAATTAGTGTTGTTAAGATCAATAAGAGTGAAAAAAGAATTAATAGTGTTTTACATTCTACTAATAATTACAAGATTGATTAACCTATTGATTATTTTACCACTACTATTTTTATACTTGCTTAAGACCAAAAAATAGTGTTTGAACTATACTATAGACAAAAGAACTTAATAATCTATAAGCAATAAATTTACACCTATATATATATATATATATATATATATATATATATATATATATATATATATATATATATATATATTAAAATCACATTATGTACTCAACAAAATATAATAAAAATAGGCGTTAATCTGCAATAAACATGACAGTAAAATTACCTTAAATCATTTAGTTACTTCATGATTATAGGAATAATACAAATGACGTGGAAAGAAATAACTTATCAGAAAGAACATGGAGAGATAGAGATCTAATTTTTTTGACATGATATATTTATTTAAGCAGATTAAAAAGGTTAAAGACAGTACAAGCATGAGAATCAATCATCAAGAAGTTAAATAATATAAAACGTTTTAAGTAGATAACTGTGCGTATTTGATAAAAAATAAATGAAAGTTTGTCGACGAGTCAGTCAAATTAGATAAAAACATAGCCAAAAATAAGTCAGAAAAACACCGAAAAGTTATTTCAAAAGTAATTTTGATAAAAATATATTTACAGGGCTTTTGTATTATTCCAACTGCAAGTTATCCAACTGAGAAGTGGTATCACTAAGGGATACATTTGAATATACTTTCGTTCTTTGGTAAGGGAACAGAGAACAAGTTCGACTAGTGCCGGATGTCTGTAAGCTGTACATGGGTGTTATTGAATTAAAATTTATGTAATGAGATTGTAACCAATCGATAGCAGGTGATCCTAAATATTGGATTAGTCGAAGCATCGCTCTACAATCACCTTCTGCACTGTGAGCATGTTTATGCTTTTCACCAAATACACGTTCATGTATATCACCTAAGTGAAAGGAATGTTTGTTTGTAGTAGTAGGTAACTTTATTGGACTAGAATGAGATATAGGAACAGGGGTGGATGACTGGTCATCAGTTGAAATAAAGCCAGAATCATCTGAATTTACTCCAGCCAACTGGGAGGCGAACTCTCGAAATAAAGGTAATGTGTCTGTACATATAATTGGTGCATTTGTAGAGTCATTCAGATTGTAATCTTTTCCTTTGACACTCATTATTTGAGCTCTCAACAATGGAAAGTCAAAACGCAGTCCATTATGAGCGATAAAACATACAGGTGAATCCAATCGATTAAGAAACAACTGAATAAGATCCACTGCACTAGCATCAAAATCCCTCTGATGGAACAAATTATCAGAATTTAAACCTTTCAAGTTTAAGAGAATTAGATATATATACTTACCGGAGATTTTGGATGCTATCGATGAAATAGTTCTAGTAGGATTGAAGCATAGTGTGAGTTTATTTTCTACTCTAGGCTCATCAGTGGCATTCTCCAAACTGAATCGACTACAAGCCAACATACATAATTCTGTAATTTCTGGATTAAAGTTGGCAGACGGTAATCCCGTGGTTTCAACATCAAATAAAACTAGGGTTGACAAGAATAGTGGTCGTGAAGACTTCTAGAAAGTAAGCAAGACGAAAACAGAAAACTTACGCCTAGTGCTGAAAACTTCATTTTGTATTACACGCACGGTTAGTAGATACGACCATACACTAGAAAAAAATAAATGAATAATTGCTTCACATAGTTGTAATCATTAAAGGCACGTAAATATAACAAGGTGAGGCTTTTAAAAGAAATGTTTTGGCCAAATTACAATCAAAATGATGGTCATTTGGAACAATAATACGGATAGTAAGAAAATACGAGAGGTGGTTAGTGTCCTCTTAGTTGTAGCAGAATCCCACCAAAAGTTTCAGTCAGAAGTCACGTTAATTTTTTGATTTTTGAGTATTTTTATGGCAAACTAACTAATTTAACGATAAAATAATAGCTAAAAGTGGTGGAGGCTTGAATCAATAGGAATTTGTGCTAAATTCCGTTATTTATGCATGGCCATTGCCTGGACTCTAGATAGTAAGGTGCATAACCTGCTATCCAACACCAGAAAATCAAGTGCCTTAGACACGAAACTACTAGTCAGTAGTCCTGCTTGTAAATAAAATTAACGTAACTGAGTGATCAAGTGTGGACAACTGTTTTCATCTTTAAAAACCACTTATTGTGCGACGGTTATTGGGTCAATAATTTACAACTGCCAGGAAACCTTTACATGGAAGTGCATCTTGTTCTGTTCCGGAGAACTAGTCATTCTAATGGTTTTTTAAATAACATTGCAGTAGTGAGGCTCTAATAACGGAAGCTGGTGTGATATTGAATAAATTAGCGGTCAGAAATAAGTAACTTGTACTAGTAAGAGATATCCAAATAGACAAAACGAAAAGCTCTAGCTATGTGGATAGTGACCAATTAGGCACCTTTTCCTGTGTCCCAGTACAGTCAGGAGTTTTGTTTGATGTCCTAATACAACTTGTTAATAATTTGACTCAAGCAAGTTTTACACACTGAGGGGGTACAAATGTTCCCACTAAACAGAATAGAAAATGTTCAATGATTTCACGAGAATAATAGGTACTGATGGTTCACCTAAGGAGGGGAAGGTTAATGAACCATAATTTTAGACCAGTGGTGTATATATTTTTCAGCATCCCCAAAGAACAAGAGAGATACGAGTTGTGGTGTGGAAATTTGAGATAACAAACCTTTGTCAGGCTTTAGGTCAATTATGGCTTGATTAATTCAGACAACGAGTACCATGAGATGGATACAAGTTACGTCACCGAAATTTAAATTAAAGCATCAAGTCAAAGGTATGGTGGGGGATAATCCAAGACAACATCTTGGATTGATTTGAGTACTCATGCAGTATCACAGGACTAACACTATGTTGGAAGAAAGTTAAGGCAGTCAAATTGAAACCAAAGGTAGCGGACTCGTGTCTCATTTTGGGTTGGAAGTCAAAACCACGGTTAATCATTACCACTGGATTGTAACCTTTTTACATTCAGTCAAACACAATCACCACAGCGTGGGACAAGTAGCGTTTGTGCAGGTTACTATACCGAGTCAGCAAATAAAGATGAAATTAGCAGGACGGACAGCAAAGTACTCAAGTAACAGTAGAATGAATGGTAGTAAGAAAAACTAAACAATGAGGATATGACTTTAGAAAAGTGTGTATGGAGAGATACTAAAAATTAAGACTGCGGGAACCATGAAAAATTGAATGAATAGGGATCACAGCGACCGGCTCCAAGACAACCCATATGCGATTTTGTAGTTTCCAATCCAAAAACCGTGTTGTGAATTACCGAATGAACAGAGGAAAAAAACATGCATGACGAAAAGTTTGAACACGAAGCATCACTTGTTAGAAAAAAGAATACTATAAGCTTTAGTACAAGACCATCGTCAAATGTACTGAAATTCATCAGTGTTTGGAATAACCTTAGCTACTACAAAAATTGCAATTAACATAAATGTAAGGCCAATGGTACGTTGTGTGTCAACTAAAGTAACGAGCTAATGAAGAGTCAAGGGTCGCAAACAGTTTTCACTATTAACCTACGCTCTTTATGTCGTGCGCCGCCACCAGGGTGAGTATATGAATTAAAAATAAGAGTGGATACATAGTTAATATGCAAACGCTAATTTAAGAAGCTACCTCAACAAACCGTGTTATATTAAATCAATTCAAAACAAAGAGAGCCACTATTCATAGTAAGTAAAGAACTTTTTGAAATTATCCAGTGATATGACAACCCAATCTCCTAACTTTGGGGAAGTCCCCAAAGTAAAATGACCTTTACTGATGTTAAGGGGAAATCACCAGATCTGGGGAAATTTTGGGTTTTGGTGACATTTCCCCTAAAATGGGTCAAATTTTCCTCAGAATTGGGAATAGTATTGAGAATTTGAACTTGTCTTTATGAAATGCCATAATGAATACGAGTGAAAAGTCACAGGATATCTGAATAAAAACCTAGGTATTTAAAATTAAAGCAATCCGGATATTTTTGCTGGACATCTTAACACGTGTTAAGATGTCAATAAACAGTACTGTTTATGGAAGCCTACGCTTCAAAAAGATAAAAGATTATACTCAAACTGAGGTGCTGTGCACGTTACAAACATTTGTTAGTATTACTAAATGATTTCTGGAAAAACATATTTAAAAAGTGCCAGCCAAATTCTGCACTCCCAAACTAGCTAAGACATCTACTAACATATGTAACTTGCTTTAAATAGCGCCAACTGTGTAGGTCGCAATTATAGTTGGTTTCAACAATAATAAATTTCAGACAAACATGTTGACTGTCAGGTTATTCTAAATGCTGAATTACGAATAGCGCCATTGCAAAAAGACAATTTTATTCCTATTTGGTTGATAAAATAGGCGATTCAAAAAACAGTAGTTCGGGTGGCCAAATTTTTCATGGCTCTAGAAGAAGGGTAAGGTTTCCAGGTGATTTAAACAGTTACTTGGCATAACTATTCGAATCACGATCATCTTTTTACATTGCTGCATAAAGAAAAAACAAAAGTTTGTTTTCTACTGTATGCTTATATTTGTGTGTATATCATTTCTACTCTTAAAAAAATCCAATAAAGTATGTTTATGCAAAACGTTGTTGCTGTCGCATAGTATCTATACGCATTTCCTTTGGATTCTCGCACTTTTTACATCCATATGTAAGCACGAGTGTATTTCAGCACACACCCTTTTTTCAAGACGGTTGGAAAAATGACAAACTGACTAAAAATACGATGGATCAGAACGTAAACTTGACATCTTTTAAATTGTTATATCGTGTGAAATGGTCCCTTGTATTAGGTAAAGATGGCATGATGCTGGTAAATGTAGCAAGCTATAAGAACAGTGCTTATCAACTGCAATCTCGTTAGACTTAAACCTATGGATGGTTACGTCTTGGAGTATCTACTATCACGTGAAGAGGGAGTGATCTGTAGCGGTAAATAAATCTTTAAAATAAACAGTTCCGTTATTTTTCTATTTTCATTAGTTTTACTGAACACACTGTTGTTGAAGGCGCTCGTTCACTCATGCGCACCAAGTCACGAGTTGGTACGCCATGCTTCTCAATCCAAAAACGGCTTGTGGCGATATGCGTGACAAGCTTATTTTGTAAGCAGTTTTTGATGTTATTTGTGTTTATTCTGTTGGTTTTTCATAGGCTGTACATTTATCATGAAATGATTGTACGTGTTGTTTAAGTGTATGACCTTGAACACAGTTTCTTCCGTCGTGTTACACTCATAGCATGATACACACTGTTACCTACTAATAAATACACTGCTATACACATACCTCTTATACTTAATGGCTCGTGATTGTGTTAAATGAACCCCAAATCAACTACCATCTACATTTGTAGACTATTACCAAATTATACGTTTGGTTATATCACCGGACGGACATTAATCTTACTGGAATATTCAGTTTTTTATATTTGAAGATTTTGGTACTAAACTCGACCGGAACAAGCATAAATTTGCTGAAATAAGTAACGTCTCTAATTTTTGTTGTGTTTATAACGTGTAACTGATATATACTAACATTGCAGTTTGTACTTAATATATCTGTTATCATTTTTGAGTTTGTAGTGGGGCGTCGAGTCACCACTACAGGGAGACTACGTGTCAGTTAAACAATAAGATCAACTGTAAGCCAAATATCAGAGGGCAGTTGATGGCTGTGGTGGAGATGTATTTGTTGGCTATCTTGTGGTATCGAAAGAATACCGAGATCGTGCCAGGTTACAAGTGTGGCTACTGAGCGTAACCGAATTTGCGCAAGGTCATAATCAACGGAAGAATGTATGCGTTTTGGTACAGTTAAACAAACGAGTACGGTAAAACAACATGTGGTACAATTGGTTATATTAATAATAATTTCCATTACATCAATCGCGTTCCCTTGATAAAAGTAAGTCACTACAAATTTATATATTATTTGGTCCACCACAACTAGCCAGAATAGGTCGAAGGCTTCTCTACATGTTGGTAACTCGTCAAATGTATCTTTAAATCCATTCAATTATGACTTATGATTTGACTGGCTTGGTATTCTTTGGTCAAAAAGGTTTAGGATGAACGAACACTGTAAAAAAAGTCAAAACGTTTTAGCAACTGCGTGGTAAAAGGCTTGACATGCTGGCCATTGGGTTCGTAAATCTTTAGTAGCTATCGCGCGGCTAAGTGAAGTAATTTTCAGACTTTGACTTAAGCGGAATACTAGGTTATTATATATCTGGACAGCGGAAAGCTCAGTTTTATTCACCGTATATGCGTCTGTACATTGGTGAATAGTGTGCACCATAATGCTATTGAAGCATTTTTAGGCAACTACCAACTTCTGGATAATTCCGATAATTTCCCCAGATCTTTTTAGAGCTCTTGAATACCTTTTACTCTTTATCGTTCTCTATATTTTGACGTTATCTGGATATAACAAGGCCTATGATGATAGTAGACTAGGAAGGAGTTCTTTAACACAAAACAATATGCTAAACAACGAGAGGAATAGTTAATGAACAGGAGTTCGATTCCTAAAAATGGATAAAAATATTCCCAACAAGATAGGATCAGGTGCCTTTCTGTAAAAATTCTGTGAGCCATTTCAAGCAGTCAGTCAGAAATTAACAGCTATACACGAACCATATTGTGACACTGATTTTAGTCAAAAAAGACTTTATTGACAGTAGTCCATCGACATACAACAGTAAAATTAGGTGACAATCGGTAAGCTTTTAATCAAGGTCACATACGTCTTTCGACGCTAATGAACGCTCATGCGAAGATGGTTAGTAGCTTACTGACTGTCTGTATAACATTTCATGAGGTCCACAATAAAATGCTGTAAACTCTGCCTCGTAGTTCTTATGCAAACAAGTGTAGTCCTGCCAGTTAGACCATTAATAAAATAGGATGGATTGGAGTAAATTAGCGTACAAAGTCTGTTACTATACTGTCGTGCTTTCCGGAACCATGTCATTGACAGACCAATCCGTGTAATTTATACATGATCTCAACGAGCTTCAAACGAACACAGCGTCCTCTTATCTCTCTTCTGAGGCATGAAAAGCTCACTTGATAATCAACTAGACTAAGGTTCCGTGATCTTTCACTGACTTTACACCACCGTTTGACGGATTCCAAAGTTTTAGTAATGACGTACAGTACACTATGAATAATGTAAGACTTCCATAAGAAGCTGATTGTACAGTATAAAGAGCAACCGCGACCTTTTTCCTGCAATCGAATAATTTTTCCAGTTAAATAGGGAAGCTCACCACATGAAGACACTCAGCATAATGCCATCAGATAATTTCGACCTTTCTAAATGTCTTTCTTTAGGTAATTATCCAAAGTGATTACTGACATCAGGGTCCTAATGTAAGATTGCAGTTCACCCGAAATAGCAGATTAATGTGCACTCTGTTCACCACAATTCAACTCACGTAGTAGGGATACCCCACTACGCACCAGGCGATTACATCAGCACATTATATAAAAAAGCTTACATGAGCATTAGTCTGTGTTGCATGTTTGAAGGTACTTCTCACTAGTATTCCACAACACACAAAACATATGCTCTCTTGTAATCTTTTCTCTTATATAGCCTGGTTTTTGAATTATTCACGTTACCCCCAGAACTTACTTGAGACTTCATGTGAAGAAACAAACCCTCGTAATGTCTCCCCGTATCAAGAAGGATGGCAAGTAGTCTGAATATGTTTATTGAAGTGTGACTCAAATGGAAAACTGGATAAAAGTTAAACCACACTCTGCTCTACTAAAGTGTTTAAATTTACAACTTGTACACTATTAAGGAGTTATGATGTGCATTATTGCAGTGCATCTTATTTCCCATTATCTTTTTCACGGTTATAATTTGATAATCCAGTTCAGTACTGAAATGTACTTGAGAAAACATCTGTTCAGCACAGAACACGAAAGGGATTGCGACGCTTTTCGCAGTCAAAGCCTGTTAGTTCTGGATACCATTTACGGAATTAGCGATAACAACATGCTGTGGTGTGATGATTATAAGCATTAAGACTTGTCATACGAACTAAGATTCCCCAAAATAAGTCAGTTAAGGCCAAAAAACTAAGTGAGCACAAACGAACGTTCTGTATTTGGAATTCGAAATAAGTTTATACAAATACCGAGCCAAATCAATAACAAATTCAGCGTCATCTCCCAAGATTGTCACACTTTACTGTTTCATAACACAATCAGAAAACAAACAGAATCTCACTACATAGCAAATATAGTTCAACTCTAAAATTAACTGATTTTTGCATTATAAACTTTGGTTACTTAAAATGCTTAACTCGCGTTATACTTGAAGGAAGCTATTTATCAACAATCACTTTTGTTAATAAATAAATTCCTAGAATAAATACTTCTGAAAGTCTTGGACTTCGACGCTGGTCTCATTTGTTTTACAGGACACACCCTGATTGAAGGCGCTCAGTCATGGATCTTCACCAGATCATAATTGTGTTCGTCGTGCTACGTACTTATCGCAACGTTTAGCTTATCAAGACATCAATAAATTCCCAAATACATATTCGAACTCCTTAGCTCGCAACTTTTGATTTGACTGGGTGGATGTCTTTCGATTACAAAAGTGCTGGGTACAAATCATTGTTAAACTCTGGCTATCCGTGGCATATTTGACCATATCAATAAAGTTCAGATCTACTTGCAGTAACATAGATCGTGGTGATAAAGATGAGCAGATTCACGGTGTGTTGTGAGAAGATCGAGGCGCGAATTAATCAGACTATAATGTATTTATTGTATACTACCAGTGGTTTGTGGTATGAGAGAGTACTGTGTCCATTTTATTCAGTTTTATGTTCATTTAAATGATGAATCAGTTATTGCGTTTGCCGTTTTCAAGTCAAATACAATTGATTTAGCCATAGCTAATTTTGTACGACAAAGTACTAGCAACAAACGACATTTATCTCTTCAAACCATCTGTTCAATTGTTACACATCATCTTCATATTCTGCATGTAAAGGTTTGTTTAATTATTAGGAGTATATGATATGTAATAGGTAGCATAACTAAGACGTAACTGGTTTGATGAGTTTAAATGGTATTGTGGTGCGTGCTACTTATATTGATATAAGTAGTATATGACGCGAGTCAGAAATGTAATGTCTGGCAGCAGAAGGTGGGGGAAGATCAAGAAAGCAAGAGTGGGAATAGAATGCGATTTGTATGGAAATGCAAGA